GGCACACAACACCATGCTCGGCTAATTTTTGTATTTGTAGTAGAGATGGGGTTTCACCATGTTAGCCAAGCTGCTCTTGAACTCCTGACCTCAGGTGATCCACCCTCCTCAGTCTCCCAAAGTGCTGGAATTACAGGCGTGAGCTACCAGCTCAGCTGAAAAAGCATTTTTATGATTGCATTTAGCATGATTATTTTGTGAGAGACCAAGTTATTTCATAATTTTAAATCTTGTAGCCAAGAATGGAGATTTTTTTTTTTTTTTTTTTGGCGAGCCAGCCAGGAGATGAACCTGGAATCTTCTCAAGAATGGAGTTTTTAAAAAAGCCTACTCTCCTCAAAATGTCCCATCCTATTAAGATATTTTTTTCTCTCCCTTATTCCCTACTTCTAGAAATGTTATCATCCCTACCCAGGATTCTACAATCACAGGCCTGCACTCATGGAGTAGAAAACTTAGTAATAAAAATGAGAAATTAAAAAGAAACAGTTATGGATATAGAAAAGGTATAAAAAGAGCAAGGGGCTGGGCACAGAGGCTTACGCATGGAATCCCAGGACTTTGAGAGGCTAAGGCAGGCAGATCACTTGAGGCCAGGAGTTCGAGATCACCCTGAGTAACAGGGCAAAACACTGTCTCTACTAAAAATACAAAACAAACAAACAAACAAACAAACAAACAAACTAGCCAGGCATGATGGTACACATCTACAATCCCAGGTACTTGGGAAGCTGAGGCATGAAAATCACTTGAACCTGGGAGGGGGAGGTTGCAGTGAGCCAAGATTGCGCTACTGCACTCCAGGAGAAACAGGGAGACTCTTTCTCAAAAACAAAAACAAAAGCAAGAAGGAAATATGAGGATCTAGGCCTTTGTTTTCAGAATGGAGGGACCTGGGCTGGCACAGAATCTCAGAGCATTAGTAAACAGGCTGCAGACCCCTAATCGACTGGACCATTGGCAGAGCAAAAGCCAAATACATGACTGCAGGACTCATCAAGGCCTGTATTCCCCAGTGTCTCCTCTAAGCCAGCAAGGTGAGTCACAGCACCTGGACAGACCTGACCGACTGGAGGGTAACAAGTGTGATGACTGAACAACTCTCTAACCAGCCACCAAGGGTGCTCTGTCTCAGTCCCTCTCTCCATACCCTCCTTCAACAGGATCAGGCTCTATTCGTGCCCTGCTCCTCTGGCTTGCCAGGAGTCCCTGAGACAAGTTAGATATGGAGGAAATGGCAAATCACAGCCAGAGGAGATTGTCTCCTAGCCCTGTGTATCCCCACACCAGGCTCCCTGTGTTCCTGAAAGGTGCTCTGTGAGTTTATAGCACTGGCCATGACCTCACCACTCCCCCTGCCTCCCCCACTCCCTATATGGATGAATGTTACCCACCTTTAATCTTCAAGCCAGCCTCAAATGCCACTTCCTCCAGCCTGGAGTCCATTCGGAACCAACCTCCCCCCAAGATGAGCATTTGGAATTTTCCAAAATTCTTTCTTGCCTCCTTCAGAGGAGTCTGCCTCCCTCAGTGTGCAGCCTACCTTGTTCATCTATTTTCTCCACTGTTTATTTAGCAAAGTGCCTTTGTTGTCAAGAGCCCAATGAATGTGGTTAAATGTTCATTTGATTTTAAGAGAGATTAGAGGCAGAACATCTTGGTCACTCATCTGTCTGGGGAACCTCACATCTTTTACAGTTAGTTCCTCTGAAAAGATAGCTTCAATCATTCCAACTATAATGCGAGCTTATTTTCTCTTAACCCTTTGTTCCCTACTCTTAAATCAAAGTGAATTAATCAAAAAAAAAAATCACTAACTTCTATGTGGTCTACTGATCTTCGCCTTTAGGGGAAATCCTAAAGGTTGGTTAAGGTCTTTTTTTTTCATCTCTCCTAGTCTGAGAGTACCCACACTGGGCATTCAAAAGCCCAAATCTGAGGTCGGGGGCAGTGACTCATGCCTGTAATCCCAGCACTTTGGGAGGCTGAGGCAGGTGGATCACTTGAGCTCAGGAGTTCAAGACCAGCCTAGCCAACATGGCAAAACCCCGTCTCTACTAAAAATACAAAAAATGAGCCGGGCACAGTGCCGGGCGCCTGTAATCCTAGCTACTCAGGAGGCTGAGGCAGGAGAATTGCTTGAACCCAGGAGGCAGAGGTTGCAGTGAGCCAAGATCATGCCACGGCACTCCAGCCTGGCCGACAGAGCGAGACTCGGTCTCTAAAAAAAAAGAAAAGGAGCCGGGCGCAGTGGCTCACGCCTTAATCCCAGCACTTTGGGAGGCCAAGGCGAGCGGATCATGAGGTCAAGAGAGTGAGACCATCCTGGCCCACAGGAAACCCTGTCTCTTTTTAAAAAAAAAAAAAAAAAAAGAAAAGGAAAAACAAAAGCCCAAAATCCTACATGCCTGTTCTGAATGTTATTCCCAAATTATCTTTAAACTTTTAAACTGTAAGGTATGTCTCGCCTTCTCCAAGATGATACAAGATTTAGGGGAAGGATAAAAACCCAATCAATCAAGCAAGTGAAGAAGCGGACATAAACAGGCTGAAGGTTAATGGCAGCAACATAAAATAAGCCAGAGGCAAAGTATCCCCCAAACCAGAGAAGCCTCAGGGGCATGCACAGCTGGAGAGAGCAAGCCAGAGAGGGGTCTCGGCACTGCCTCACCTTCCACTTGTCCAATGGGGGGAGCGCTACCCCATTGGAGCGGTTAAGGTCGGACACCAGCACCTTCAGAATGTCCTGAATCTATAGGAGGCAAAAAGGGAAAAACAAGGGCAGGGGGAGAAAGACAGAAATGGCTTACAGAGAGGCAAGAAAGTCAAGGAAGGAGGAAGACGTGGGTTCAGGGAAACGAAATGCTGAAGAAGAGTGGAGGAGATCAATACCATGGCCTGTGCCATCCTTCCAAATGGCCACCTGCTGCCGTGCCAGGGGCAGAAACAAATAGATGGAAAAGTCCCCTGAGTGATGCAGTCATACAAGGTGGAGTCGCCTAACCAGGGCAGCTCTCAATATGCTCATTGGACCCCTCAGGCCCACGATGTGGGCGATGAATCTGGTAGAGCTACAGACCTTGACCTTAATTTTAAAAACCAGACTTCTGAGTAAGGGTTCACTTGAACAAAGGGGGTTCCAGCTAAAAAACAAGCTTGAAAGATACTGATCTTATCCAATGTCATCTTATGAGGAAGAAACTCAGGCCCAGGGAAAGAAGTGGTTTTTCTGTAGTCATCCAGCAAGCTGGTGACAAAGATGAACTCAAAAGTTAGATCTTCTCCTAATTCTAGCACCTGGGGCTCTCCTCACCACACCCTGGGGCCCTTTCAGTGACTCCTAAAGGGATAGCCTGATGCCAAGTGGCTGTTCTCGTTGCCCTGGCTTCCCCTTGAGACTGGGGATGAGGAAAATGAAACAGCAACTACCATTTCCTGGGTGTCCTAAGTGTTTACAGCAGGCCCTGCACTAGGGATTAACATAAACACAACAACAATAACAAATCTCATTTAAACTTCACAAGCGTAAATAAAACAATACTTTACAGATGTGAAAAGAGAGGCCCAAAAATCTCCAACAATTTGCACTAAAATCATATCCCTAGCAGATGGATAGGTATGATATAAACCCAGAACTCTTAACCAGTACCAGACAGTTCTTCCACAGTCATCACAATTACCCTCTGCTGCCCCTTGGGCCCCCTGTCCCCAGGAGCCTGGCCAGCCAAGACTCACATCCTCAGATGAGTGGCAATCACCAGAATTGGTTGTCTCAGGGCTACTGCCATTTTTAATTTTCTTCTTCTTTTTTGCTCCTGCAGGAACACCAGGGCTATTCCTCTGCTGATATTCTCTCAGCTGTGGAAAAGAAGAACAGCAATACTCATGAGAACTACAAGCCCCTACAGTTACATCCTACTTTACAATTTTTCCAAAATAGTCTTATAGACCAGCTGATTTAATGCCACCAACAACTGTACAAGCTCTTATCATAATCACTTAGTGACTGACAGGGACTGTTACCATGGCTTAAAAAAAGGCAATAATTGAACTTAAACTCAGTCTTCTGACTCCGAGCTCAGGGGTTTTGCCACAAATCAGCAGCTACCAGGGCCCAAATCCAGAGGCAGAGGTAGAAAAGTAAAAATTAAGCAGGCAGGAACTATACACTGTGTGGTTTAGAATCATACATCCTCACACGTTTGTTAGTGTAAGAAATGCACGAATATCTCTCAAACTTTTACATCAATGTATCCTCATGGCAGAAGGCAGCCTTTCTGTTAAATCTAGGAATTTAACAGAAAGAGGACAACCCAAGCCTCATTTCAGAGAGAAGTCTGGTGTATTCTCACACATTTATGTGACTGTTATCCCTAAGTACATTAATGTTTTTCTCTCTCAAGAGAATCAAGGGAAACCGATGCTTCAGAAAGATGCATATTTATCCACTGCGCTCCAAGTACCCCCAGGTTGAGATGGTATGAGAAAGATTCAAGCTGTCGAGTTCAGTTTCCCAAGACCTGTTCCACAGAAGATAAGGAGATCTCATTCCAAACACCACTGATTAAAGGGCACTCTGGTCCCAGAACCATGGAGAATTCGAATATGAGGTGGAGATGTCAGAGAAAAACGTTAAAGTCTCTCTGGAGAGTAGAAGCCTGGGAGAAAACCAAACCAAACTCATTCTCACATTGCCACCCAGAGATACTGCCAACGTTTTGAACTCACAGGGGAAGTGCAGGCTTTTCACACTGTCAACGTCTGTGTTAAGGGAGTAAGGCAGCCTGAAACCTCTCCCTCCTAGGTCCCATAGTCCCCATTCCCCTTCCAGCTGGAAATTTATGCTGTGACCAGAGGAACCAGAAATGGGATAAGAACACTTATGGGGCTGGGTCCTAAGATCAAAGGCTGGTATAGAGCACTAATTACGGTTGGGGGGGTGTGACGTCACTACATTCCACTCTTCCCGGGGGTTGGGGGGGACATCGGCGTGTCGTCCGAGTCGCCGCTCTGCGATGGGGGAGGGGAGCACAGGGCCAGGACCCAGGTCCTTGGAGACTCGAGCCCAAAGAGCCCAGGGAGGGCCGGTTTGGGGCGGCAGAAGGTGAGGGCCGAGTCTGGAGCGGGGAGCTCCTGGAGTCTAGGGCCCAAAGTCACTGGCTGAGCTGCTGAGGACCGAGGTCCTTGGAGACACCAGCCCAAAGAGCCCAGGGAGGTTGGACCTGGGGCGGCAGGACGTGAGGGCCGAATCTGGAGCGGGGAGCCCCGGGAGTCACCAGCCCAAAGTCACCCGGGGGCGACTGGCGAGGGCGGGGGCTGGGCGGTTGAGGGGGCGGGGCTGGCTGACAAGACTTTGGTGGGGGCAGCCCAGAGGCGCCGGGGGGCCCAGCCCGGTGTGCCTCAGGAGTGGCACGAACTCTGGCCGCGGTCCTGCCATAGGAGGGGGGCTGGGGCTGGGTCGGGGAGCCGCGACCCGGCGCGCTTTACCTTTTTCTTCGCTGCGGCCAATTTGCTCTGTCGGGTTTCTTCCGACATCGCGGGGCGGGGAGGGAGGCGGGGTTGGGGCCACATCAGCGCAATCCCGGCAACCACTGCGTAAGTCAGTCAGCCACCGCGCAGCAGTGCGACCTAGCCAGAGGAGGCGTAACCAGGGCGCTATTAGAGGGCAGAATAGGGGCGTGGCCTCAACGATCCAAGCCCATTGGTCAATGAGAAAGATGAAGCGGAAAGGAGGCGTGGCCAAGCGGCGGCGTGGCCAGAGGGACCTGTGGCGTCACAACAAAAGCTGCGCACGCAACCGCTGTCCCCGCCCATCCCGGGTGAAGAGCGGGGCTGGTTATCGTTGGGTGCGCGCGCACCTTTCTGTGCGACCGTTCACGCTCGGGCTCAGAACCTGAGAGCCTATTCTCCGACTCCCGCCCTGGACCCTCTTGCGCCACTCAACCCCCCGATCCGGGGGCCTCGGACCCCAGGGCTCAGGAGGTGGGCAAGAAATGGACTCCACAGTTTCTTACCTGACTCCTCACAGCCCTGTCCCAGACTTTCCCTTTCCAGAAATCACTTCCAAAGACTCCCATCCAGTATCTCCAGACAACCCCCCTCTCGGAACTTCCCCTTCCTAGAGGGTCTCTACCCTGATCCTGGGAGCGTATGTGTCCCCTTTTCGAGCGGGCTGTGGTTTCAATGAGGCTTTCCCCTCGGATTCCTCTGCAGGACTGAATCAGGACTTACCCGAAGTTGCCGCGGGGCCTTCCGATCCCCTGTGAGTATGACTTACCCACACCCACCTTCCCATCCCCGACACTCCCTACGTGTGAGTCCTTGCCGCTCCCAGCCCTCCTCCCCATCTCAACAGCAGCTGATCCCCACTTGGCCCTCTTCCATTTCTTCTCCCAGCCGACTGAGAACCTCCAGGTCTTTTGTCAATCCCTCCCCTTTCTTTCCTCCCCCCTGCCAGTCTTCAAAGAAGTGCTATCCTGTCCTGTCCTAGTCTAACTCTTCTCCCTCCCCTTCCTGTCTCCTGCCTCCTCAGATGCCTTTCACTCCAGTCAAGCACCAGCCATCTCTCCTGGTTTCACCCCTCACCCAGCCCTGCCTTTAAACAAACCCACAGGTCCCCAGTCAGGAAAATGCTTGGTGTTCACCCTGGTCACTCCTTTAGTTGCTAATAGTCTCTCCTCTTCTCTGGCAAGCCACCCCCAAAACGCAGCCTCCTCCTCCTCTCATCCCCCAGTTGGAGTTGCCACTACCACTACCACCACTCTCAAGTTAGATCATGAGGACCAGGAGAAGTGGCTCACACCTGTAATCCCAGCACTTTGGGAGGCTGAGGTGGGTGGATCATTTGAGGTCAGGAGTTCAAGACCAGCCTGGCCAACATGGTGAAACCCTGTCTCTACTAAAAATACAAAAAAAAAAAAAAAAAAAAAATCAGGCAAGCGCGGTGGTGCATGCCTGTAATCCCAGCTACTCAGGAGGCTGAGGCAGGAGAATCACTTCATCCAGGGAGGTGGAGATTGTAGTGAGCCGAGATTGCCCCACTGCACTCCAGCCTGGGCAACAGAGCTAGACTATGTCTCTAAAAAAAAAGAAGAAGTTAGATCAGGAAAGACTTGGTATTTGTTTGTTCATTGATTTAGCAACTCTGCAATGCAGGTGTGTGCCAGAGAGCCCCCTGCCCTCCAGGAGCCACAGGCCAAAAAACAGTTCCAGTACAAGTATACACATGGGTTCTGAGAGGGGAACCCCAGGGTTGGACTTGCAAAGAGGGCTCTCCGGAGATGGCAGGGTCAGAGGCAAGGTCTGAAGGGCAAGTCACAGTGAGCCCAGATGACAATGACAAGGTGGCAGCCACAGTTTGCCAAAAGCATTTGGCTGACTGAACTCTTGCGAGTGAGTTGGTTTCCACTGTTTTTGACCATGGAGTAACTAACTACAGATGATGCCCTGCTCATTCATGCTAATTCATTCCTTCCCTTTTCTTTTTTGTTTTATTGGGACAGGGTTTCACTCTGTTGCCCAGGCTGGCTTGCAATGGTGCAATCTGGGCTCACTGTAACCTCTGCCTCCCAAGCCCAACCCATCCTCCCACCTCAGCCTACCGAATAGCTGGGACCACAGGCGTGTGCCATGATGCCTGGCTAATTTTTTTGTATTTTCAGTAGAGACAGATTTTCGCCATGTTGCCCAGGCTTGTCTCAAACTCCTGAGCTCAAAGCAACCCGCCTGCCTCGGCCTCCCAAAGTGCTGGGATTACAGGCAGGAGCCACCATGCCCAACTCCCACTCCTTCCATTTTTAAAAACAAGGCTCGGCCAGGCATGGTGGCTCATGCCTATAATCCCAGCACTTTGGGAGGCCAAGGCGAGCGGATCAGCTGAGGTCAGGAGTTCGAGACCAGCCTGGCCAACATGTTGAAATGACATCTCTACTAAAAATACAAAAACTAGCCAGGTGTGGTGGCAGGCACCTGTAATTCCACCTACTTGGGAGGCTGAGGCAGGAGAATCACTTGAACCCGGGGGGCAGATGTTGCAGTGAGCCGAGATCGCACTGCATTCCAGCCTGGGTGACACAGCAAGACCTTGTCTCAAAAAAAGAGGCTCTGTTGAGCACTGTCCCCATCAGCTTACTTTACATACATCATCTTTCCAGTTCCTTCCAGCAACCTTTGAGGCAAGATGGTTTACTGTCCCCATGTTGAGATAAGGCCCATGAGTTCCAGAGAGATGAATATAGCCAGGACATGGCAGAGCTGGGGACTTTGAACTGAGTTCTTTTTGTTTTGTTTTGTTTTTTGAGACACAGTATCACTGTCTCCCAGGTTAGAGTGCAATGGCACTATCTCAGTTCACTGCAATCTCCGCCTCCCAGGTTCAAGTGATTCTTCTGCCTCAGCCTCCATAGTAGCTGGAATTACAGTCGCCTGCCACCATGGCCCACTAATTTTTGTTTTTTTAGTAGAGACAGGGTTTTTCTGGTCTTGAACTCCTGGCCTCAGGTGATCACCTGCCTTGGTCTCCCAAATTGCTGGGATTACAGGTGTGAGCCACCACATCTGGCCTTGAACTGAATTCTTAACCGGTACCCTGTGCTTGCTCCTCTTTGGGCCTCTTTGCAGGAGCATCCTCCTGACCTCCTCCCTCTTTTTCTGTGCACACTTGGCTGGCTCCTCTGCTCCCTGCCACTCCTGAGGTAAATGTGGGCATTTCCGAGTCACTCCGCCCTCCTCTTGCTGTTCTCTTTCTGCACACCCACTCCAAGGTCTCACTTCCACGCCCTCATCCCACCCCAGTGACCACAACTCTCCTGTCTCTCTCCAGTCCTGACCTTTCTTGGGACACCCAGAGCTGCCTCCATAATCTTTGCCTTCCTGCTTGCCAAGTCTGAAATCACACTCAGCCTCCTAACCAGGACCACAAACCAACTCCTCCACCTGCCCTTGCATCATCAAAGGAACTCCAGGCTCTTGAAGTGGGCTCTGCCTCTCCTCCTTTTTTTTTGTTTTGTTTTTTTTGTTTTTGTTTTTGTTTTTTGAGAGAGTCTCACTCTGTTACCCAGGCTGAAGTGCAATGGCACGATCTCAGCTCACTGCAACCTCTGCCTCCCAGGTTCAAGCGATTCTCCTGCCTTAGCCTCCTGAGTAGCTGAAATTATAGGTGTGTGCCACCATGCCCAGCTAATTTTTGTATGTTTAGTAGAGACGGGGTTTCACCATATTGGCCAGGCTGATCTCAAACTCCCGACCTCTTGATCCACCTGTCTCGGCTTCCCAAAGTGCTGAGATTACAGGCATCAGCCACTGTGCCTGGCCGCCTCTCCTCCTTTCTAATAGCATCATGCATGGTTGCATTTGTTCTTTCTCACACCACTGTCCCCTCACTCACCCATTAACATACATGGAAACCACTCTCATTTCCCCCAACACATGTGCTCTCTCCTGCCTTCCAGCATTCGAGCACACATTCATCCCTGGGTATCCACGGAGATTGCTGCCAGGACCCCCATGGAGTGGTACAAGACAAAAAGTCTGTACATGTTCAATACAAACTCAACCATGCTTTTTTCTCAATCAGATATTTTCAGTGTGAAACCCACTGATATGGACGGCCAACTGTTCCGTCCCCTCTGCCTGCAATACTTTCTTCCACCTTTCTGCCAAGCTAAAGCCTGCTCATCCCTTAAAATTCAGCTTCCTTGGAGAAGCCTTATCCCCACTCCTGGCTCAGTCCAGTTGCCTTGTTAGACCCTCCCATAGCACACTGTACTTCAAAGCCTTTTTTAGATTTATAATTCATTTATTGGTTATTCATTCATTCATTAATAAATATTGAGTGCCTACTGTGTGCCATGTACTGTTGTAGACACTGCAATCAGCAGTGAACAGAAGTCTCTTCATGCATGGACATTACACTTCAGTGATGTAAAGCAACGTAAGACAATGAAAATAATGAAATGCATAACTTGATGGGTGATGAAAAATTCTATAAAACATCAGGAGGCGAAGTGTGGTGGCTCATGCTTGCAATCCTAACATTTTGGGTGGCCAAGGTTTGAGGATCGCTCCAGCCCAGAGTTCAAGACCAAACTGGGTGACATAGCAAGACCCCATCTCTACAAAAACTTAAAAATTAAAAAAAAAAAAGTTAGCTGAGTGTTATGGAACATGCCTGTCCTAACAGCTACCCAGGAGGCTGAGGTGGGAGGATTGCTTAAGCCCAGAAGGTTGAGGCTACAGTGAGGTGTGATTTTGCTACTGCACTCCAGCATGGATGATAGAGCGAGACAAACCCTATCTTAAAAGAAAAATTAAATTAAAAAAATATTTTAAAAAGGCGCAGTGGCTCACGCCTATAATCCCCAGCACTTTGGGAGGCCGAGGCGAGCAGATCACGAGATCAACGGTTCGAGATCAGCCTGACCAGCATGGTGAAACCCTGTCTCTACTAAAAATACAAAAATGAGCCAGGCATGACAGTGCGTGCCTGTAATCCCAGCTACTTGGGAGGCTGAGGCAGGAGAATTGCTTGAACCTGGGAGACGGAGGTTGTGGTGAAATATATATATGCCAGGCATGGTGGCTCACACCTGTAATCCCAGCACTTTGGGAGGCCAAGGCGAGTGGATCACCTGAGGTCAGGTGTTCGAGACCAGCCTGGCCAACATGGCGAAACCCCATCTCTACTAAAAATAAAAAAATTAGCCGGGTATGATGACACATGCCTGGCAGGAGAATAACTTGAACCTGGGAGGCACAGATTGCAGTGAGCCGAGATCGCGCCACTGCACTCCAACTTGGGCAACAGAGCAAGACTCCGTCTCAAAAAATAATAATTATTATAATTATATATATAAATCAAGAGAAAGGAAATGATTGATTGAGACATGACCATCGTAGACAGGGCTGTCGGAGATGGCCTTTCTGATGTGGCCATACATAAGTAGAGCTTTTAAGTGGAAGCACCTGGAGGAAGAAAATTGTTGGGTGCTTTCTCTTTGGGGCTAGGCTATGCATTCTATGAGAGCAGTGGGCTGGACTTGATGTGTCATTCATTGCTGCTCTCCTGGACCCTTTGTCAGTTCCTAGCAGAGAGTGCTCACTCATTCTGCTGAGTGACTGGTTACAAGTCACTAACCTAAAACCAGGAAGAGTGTCTTTGGTGTCTTCTTGTATCATGTGTAGACAGCTCATTCAACATATGTTTCCTGAAGATTGGCTGTGTACTAGGCACTGGCCTTCACAGCTTCTATAGGCAGAAAGGGCAAAGATGAAACATAACTCCAAGGAAGGGTTTTATCCAATGAGATTATAAACCCAGTGACAGCTGGGCACGAGGGCTTACGCCTGTAATCCCACACTTTGGGAGGCTGAGGCGGGCAGATCACTTGAGGTCAGGAGTTTGAGACCAGCCTGGCCAACATGGTGAAACCCTGTCTCTACTAAAAATACAAACATTAGGCCAGGAGCGGTGGCTTATGCCTGTAATGCCAGCACTTTGGGAGGCCGAGGGGGCAGATCATAAGGTCAAGAGATCGAGACCATCCTGGCCAACATGGTAAAACCCCGTCTCTACTAAAAATACAAAAATTAGCTGGGTGTGGTGGCGCACGCCTATAGTCCCAGCTACTTGGGGGTCTGAGGCAGAAGAATCACTTGAATCCAGGAGGTGAAGGTTGCAGTGAGCTGAGATCGTGCCACTGCACTCTAGCCTGGGTGACAGAGAGACTCTGTCTTAAAAAAAAAAAAAAAAAAAATCCCAGATGATTAAGTTCCACTTGCTGGAACTTAGTCATAGAGCCACACCTAATTCCAAGGAAAGCCTGGACATGTAGTCTTATTCAGGGGGCTGGGGTGCCTATTAGCAAGAAGAAGCAGGGAGCGACTACTGGGGGACATGTAGGCTCTGAATTGTGGATCACTGGTCAGTCTGGCTGATGACTTTTTCTGCCTCTCAGAGGCCATTGCCCAAATCTGGCCAGGCTGATCAGACCAGTGAGGAATCTCTGCACCTTGACATTCAGAAACTGAAGGAGAAGAGGGACATGCTGGACAAGGAGATCTCCCAGTTCATATCTGAGTAAGTCTCATTCGGTTCCCCAGCATGGTTAAGATAACTTTTGGCTGCGCGCAGTGGCTCTTGCATATAATCCCAGCACTTTGGGAGGCCAAGGCAGGCAGATTACTTGAGGTCAGGAGTTTGAGACCATCCTGGCCAACATGGCAAAACTATCTCTACTAAAAATACAAAAAAATAGCCAGGTGTGGTGGCATGCACCTGTAGTCCCAGCTACTCAGGAGGCTAAGGCAGGAGAATCACTTATACCTGGGAGATGGAGGTTGTAGTGAACCGAGATCATGCTACTGCACTCCAGCCTGGGTGTCAGAGTGAGAATCTGTCTCAAAAAAAAAAGATAAATTTTAGCTCTCTAACTGCCCAGTAACTGAAACCCAGTCGCACTGGCTTAGCATAGAAATAGAACTGTGCTTCTGGATTCAGGGTATTTCAGCAGCCTCTCAGGTAGGGAGATGCTCTGGCTGCTGAGGTCCTGAACTAGGACCTGGATAGCTGTCTGGAATGAAAGCTGTTGCTCTCTCAGTCTCTGGAGCTATGTTCTCCGCCTCTGTTTCCCTCTGCACAGACTCCATTCTCTCTCTGCAGGTGGAGTTTTCAGTGTGTAGGGGAAGCTGGCTCTTGAACACATCCTGGAGTTCCCCACGCCCCTTGCTCCAGCCACATGGCAGAGTGTGTGCACTTCACACTTGAGGGAATCCACCTGGCTGTTTGGATTACGTGCCCATCTGCAAGTCCCTCAGCTGTGGCCAGGGTCACATAGTACCACTGTGGCTGGAGACCCTGCCCTAAGAAGACAGGGGGTGTTTGCCAGGAGTGAGGACCTGGGGAGATCCCCTGCCCTGCTGTAAGCTTCATGAGGGCAGGGCCTGTCTTGCTGTCACCATATCCCCAGTACCTAGCACCGAGCAGGCCCTTCAAGATGCCTTATTACTGCCTGAGCCTGGGGTCATCATCTGCTTTCTTAACTGGGCTGTCTTTCCCCTTCCCTCCATCGCTCATCCCAGAGGCTACAGTGTGGATGAACTGGAGGACCACATTACCCAGCTTCACGAGTACAATGACATCAAGGATGTGGGGCAGATGCTGATGGGCAAACTAGGTGAGTAGCTGGGACTCCAGAGCCACCAGCAGGCATCATAGGTTGTCTTCTCGCCTAGAGGTGTTGGGTTTTGCTCCTGGGCCTCCTAACTTGCCAGCTGTCTTGCCTTCCTCAGTTGGCCTGCTCCTGGGCTGCCCCAGCCCCTCTCCTTACCAGCCTCTGGCCTCCCTGGCCACCTAGGTTTGTTCCTCAAGTACAGAGCCTGCTTTGGAGCTGCAGGCAGGTTTGAGCGGGGCTTGCCCATCTGCCAGACTGAGGATTCAGGGTCTCCCCAGTCTTCTGGGGCCTACTCAGAGTGATCAAGATACCAACCATGCCTCAAGTGGCTGGCTTGCTAAAGAGGCAGCAAGTGCAACGGTGACCCTTTGTGACTTTAAGGAGTATTTTGTTCCTTCTTGAACAAAATCTTACTATCTAGAGGGCTTTAGCAGAGACACCAATACCTGTGTGTCACGCTGGCTAGGAGAGCCTACCTTGAAGGTGAGGAAATTTGCAGGTGGCCCCCTACATACCCTTCAGTTCCATCCCCTGGCTCGGAGTGGTAGGCACGTTGATGTTCAGCAGCCAGTAACCACTGGGGTAGTGCTCAGAGCTAGGCTGTGTTTCTTTCTTTATTTATTTTTTTAATTTGAGACAGAGTCTCACTCTTGTTGCCCAGGCTGGAGTACAATGGCGCCATCTGAGCTCATTGCAACCTCCGCTTCCCGGGTTCAAGCAATACTCCTTCCTCAGCCTCCAGAATAGCTGGGATTACAGGCATGTGCCACCATGCCCAGCTAATTTTGTAGTTTTAGTAGAGACGGGATCTCTCCATGTTGGTCAGGCTAGTCTTGAACTCCCGAACTCAGGTGATCCACCCGCCTTGGCCTCCTAACGTGCTGGGATTACAGGCATGAGCCACAGCGCCTGGCCTGCTTCCCTGTGTTTCACTGGAGAATGGGCCCCAGAGGAGGAGAAGGAAGAAACTGGAGGCAGGAACTATAGATGAATGAGAAGAGCAGGGTGATCAGGGCCCAAGAAGAAGGGGATGTGAGGGGAGTGTAAGCTAGTGTTTAAGACCAGAAGCTCAGCTGGACGGGGTGGCTCACGCCTATAATCCCAGCATTTTGGGAGGCTGAGGCCAGTGGATCACCTGAGTTTGGGAGTTGGAGACCAGCCTGACCAACATAGAGAAACTTTGTCTCTACTAAACATAAAATTAGGTATAGTGGCACATGCCTGTAATCCCAGCTACTCAGGAGGCTGAGGCAGGAGAACTGCTTGAACCCTGGAGGCAGCGGTTGTGGTAAATGGAGATGGATCCACTGTACTCCAGCCTGGGCAACAAGAGCAAAACTCCATCTCAAAAAAAGAACATAAGCTCTTAGTAGTGAGACTCAGCATGAGGCCTGTCACTTCCAGGTCATATGATGTGAAGCAGGTGGCCTATCCCTTTTTTATTTTAGACTAGGTCTCACTCTGACATCCAGGCTGGAGTGCAGTGGCATGATCTCGGCTCCCTGCAACCTCTGCCTCCCAGGTTCAAGTGATTCTAGTGCCTCAGCCTCTCGAGTAGCTGGGACTGCAGGCGCCCACCACCACGCCCAGCTAACTTTTGTTTTTTTAGTGGAGAAGGGGTTTCACCATGTTGGCCAGGCTGGTCTTGAACTCTTGACCTCAAGTGATCCACCTATCTTGGCCTCCCAAAGTGCTAAGATTACAGGCGTGAGCCACCATGCCTGACCTCCTTTTTGTTTATTCAGTGAACATTTACTGAGCAGCTACACTATGCCTGGCACTCTACAGAGTACTGGGGACACTTTGATGAACTGGACACTTTTTTTTTTTGAGACAAAGTTTTGCTCTTGTTGCCCAGGCTGGAGTGCAGGGGTGTGATATTGGCTCACTGCAATCTCCGCCTCCTGCCTCCTGAGTTTAAGCAATTCCCCTGCCTCAGCCTCCCGAGTAGCTGAGATTACAGGAGTCCGCCACCACACCCAGCTAATTTTTTCTATTTAGTGAACCAGACACTTGAAGGTCTCTGCTCTCACGTGGTTTGTTTTCCTGTTGGGGGTGGAGGAATACCCAGGAAGTAAGTGGACTCAGCAGGTTAATGACAAAATGTGTTAGGTGCTGCGAAGGTGACAAAGGGCAGAGATGGGGAGAATATTGAGGTATGAACAGCAGGGCGCTAGGGGTAAGATAAGGTAGTCAGGGGACAGCTCTGAGGAGAACCCTTCCCCAGGAGAAAGGACCAGTCTTTGTGGAGAAAGGAGGCAGAATAGCATCATGGGGGCTCCAGAGGGGCAAACTCAATCTAGCCCGTGGGCCATGCGGTGGAGTCTGATATGTCCAGCACGCACAGCATACAGTCAGCTTACATTTGAAGCAGATGAGTCCAGCAGCTCTGTGCGGAGAATGGAATCGAGGGAGCTCTATTTCATTCCTCTTCAAAATGGGGTGAGGGTCCAAGGAGTCCTCGTAGGTCCAGTGTTGAACACAGTGGCTGGCACATGGAGGAGCTCCGGTGGGAGTTATTAGCGTGGCATGGCCCACGGGGGGGCAGCCTGGAAGGAGTAGCAGGGGGCTTACCTCAGCCAGTTAGACGAGGCACAAATGTGGGCACCGGCTTGTAGCCAGAGGTGGTCCTGGTGGGTCAGAGCAGTGACACTGGCTCGGGGCATTGGCTGTACTCCCTCCCACCTCCCCACTGGACATTTAGCCTTCCTTCCTTCCTTTCAGCTGTGATCCGAGGTGTCACCACCAAAGAGTTGTATCCAGAGTTTGGTCTGGACATGAATGACTGAGCAGCACCCAGGGACAGTGTGACCATGATAAACCCTGAGAGCCCAACCAGCATACCTACAGAGTTTCCAGTGAGAAAATGCCAGAAGCGCTTTTCTAGAGAGCCCAAGATGAATTGGGAGGAGCCTAGAGGAAAGGAAGGCCGGGAGGAAGGGGCGTTCCCAGCTCCAAGTTTCCTGAAATGTCGCAGTGATACTTGTATAGGGGTACATGTATTTTATTTGTCAATAAACGGATACTGATTCCCTCTACTCCAATAGCCCCCAGTGGTACCTGGGGTAAAGAGAGCCTGCCTTGGATTATAATGGCCTTATATGAGCCAGGCATTGTGCTAAGTGCTTAATATCCATTATCTCTGATGCTTAAAATCATCCTGTGAGGAATTAGCATTATTATCCCCATCTTACAGATGAAGACGTTGAGGCTCAAAGAGAAGGCAAAGTGACCTGCCCAAAGTCACACAGCCAGCAAGTGGCAGAACAGGGATTTGAACCTAGGTCAGACTCAAGCCTGTACTTTGCAATACTGCCTTTCTGGGTTGGGGAGAAGCAGGCAAGAGTTTAGAGTGGGCCCGGTGTGGTGGCTCATGCCTGTAATCCCAGCACTTTGGGAGGCTAAGTCAGAAGGATCTCTTGAGGCCAGGAATTCAAAACCAGTCTTTTTTTTTTTTTTTTTTTTTTTTTTGAGACAGAGTTTCACTCTTATTACCCAGGCTGGAGTGCAATGGCGCGATCTTGGCTCACTGCAACCTCCACCTCCAAAGTTCAAGCTATTCTTCTGCCTCAGCCTCCTGAGTAGCTGGGACTACAGGCATGTGCCACCACACCCATCTAATTTTTTGTATTTTTAGTAGAGACGGGGTTTCACCGTGTTAGCCAGGATGGTCTCAATCTCTTGACCTCATGATCCACCCACTTCGGCCTCCCAAAGTGCTGGGATTACAGGCATGAGCCACTGTGCCTGGCTGAAAGACTCCCTTTCTATAAAAAATTTAAAAATTATGTTGTGTTCCCAGTGGTAAATTGTTTTTCTTGTTAAAAACAAATTTTAGGGGCCGGGCATGGTGGCTCATGCCAGTAATCCCAGTACTTTGGGAGGCTGAGGCAGGCATGTGCCTCCCTGCCTGCCAAACTCCTGATCACAAGGTCAGGAGTTTGAGACCAGCCTGTCCAACATTGTGAAACCCCCTCTCTACTAAAGATACACACACACACACAAATTAGCCAGGTGTGGTGGCAGGTGCCTGTAATCCCAGCTACTCAGGAGGCTGAGGCAGGAGAATCACTTGAACCCGGAAGGCAGAGGTTGCAGTGAGCTGAGATCGTGCCATTGCACTCCAGCCTGGGCAACAGAGAGACTCTGTCCCTAAATAAATAAATGAAAATAAGTTTTAGGGTCCAGGCACAGTGCCTCATGCCTGTAATCCCATTACTTTGGGAGGCCAAGGCAGGCAGATCACATGACGCCAGGAATTCAAGACCAACCTGGCCAACATGGCAAAACCCATCTCTACTAAAAATACAAAAATTAGGCAGGCAGGGAGGCACATGCCTGTAATCCCAGCTACTTGGGAAGGTGAGGCAGAGAACTGCCAATGTTCTGGGCCATATGGGTGGGAGGGTGGGTGTATGTGTGTGTGTGTGTGTTTAAGACAGAGTCTCTGCTGCCACAGGCTAGAGTGCAGTGGTGTGACCTCAGCTCACCACAACCTCCACCTTTTGGGTTCAAGTGATTCTCCTGCCTCTGCCTCCCCAGTAGCTGGGATTATAGGCGCCTGCCCCCACACCTGGCTAATTTTTGCATTTTTAGTAGAGACAGGGTTTTCACCATGTTAGCCAGGCTGGTCTCAAACTCCTGACCTCAAGTTCTGCCCACATCAGCCTCCCAAAGTGCTGGGATTACAGGTGTGAGCCACCTCACCTGGCTGGCTACCCAGTTTTATGGTGGGAAAGGAGGAGAAGGAAGCAGCCAGGCTCTGAGTGGGTGGGAGCCCCAGGAGAGGTGAGCCTTTCCTTGAGGTTTTCTCATGTTACACCATTTTCTCTATGTGGAGAGCTGGCTGGTCTTCCCTCTTCCTACACAAAAAATTTGTCAGGGCCAGGTGCTGGGGAGCTCCAGTCTCTGGGTCCCTACCACACACCACTTGCCTGCCAGTGGGAGGTCAGAGACCCAAGAAGCCATGACAATACAGTTGGATAAAACGCTGCCATGGGGTTATGAAAGCACGTTAAAGCTGCATCTAACCAATGTGGGATACTGGGAAACTTCCCAGGGGAAGAGACATTAATGTCTGTCCAGTAGGAGGTAGCCAGATAAGGATGTGGGAGAGGGCTGGGCACCTGTAATCCCAGCACTTTTGGAGGCTGAAGCAGGTGAATCACCTGAGGTCAGGAGTTCAAGACCATCCCGACCAATATGGCAAAACCCCATCTCTACTAAAAATATAAAAATTAGCCTGGCATGGTGGCATGCATCTGTAATCCAAGCTTCTCAGGAGGCTGAGGCAAGAGAATCACTTGAACTCAGGAGGCGGAGGTTGCAGTAAGCCAAGATCACACCACCGAACTCCAGCCTCCAGTAAAACTCTATCTCAAAAAAAAAAAAAAAAAAAAAGAATATGAGAGTATTCCAGACAGAACTTAGTGGGTGCAGGATACAAGGGATTCAGACTGGTTGAAAGGTGATCAGGGATGGTGATTTGCAGGCTTTGTTGGCTTAGATTCTCAGTGCAAGATGAAAGCTTCCCTCAAACACAGTTGTAACTCAGCTCTGCATTTTGGTTCTATCTTGAGGCACCCAGAGAGGGCACTTAGAAGGAAAGTATCACCAGGGTCTGTTTTTAATTGTGTAAGCTCCGCTCTCCCAGGTGTCATAGTGGGCATGACCTCGAGGGGGCAGTGTCCACTCAGAGATGCACCCAACTGCCCTGGGAAGTAAGCCCTGGGAGGGCCTTGTTGGGAAGGCTCCTGCCTGCCAGGCTGGATTCAAGAAGGCTGAATCCTCAGAACACATAGAAGGGGTTCTCTGGCAGCACCCCCTCAGGAGTTTGAAGCGACCAGGGGCAGTAAGGAGCAACTGGTTGCGAGATATGGATTCCTCAGGGTGTGCCCCCATGTGCTGGAAAACAGGTGACAGAGGTTACTCTGCTGGTGTGTACACATACATGGTTTCTTTGATCATATCCGGTGTAAACCCTACTTGAAAATATTTATCATCCGGCACCTACCAAGTTCAAAATACTAACGCAGTACAGCCTGCACTATTGTTCCTGGGGACTAAAAGGGGTCATTTCTGGGTGGCCTGACCCAGAAATGTGTCACAGGCTGGGTGTGGTGGCTCACGCCTGTAATCCAAGCACTTTGGAGGCCAAGGCGGGTGGATCACCTGAGGTCGGGAGTTCAGGACCAGCCTGACCAACATGGTGAAACCCCATCTTGAAAAAAAAAAAAAAAAAAGTGTCACAGAGCAGTGTCACCAAATAGTGCCCCACTCCAGTTTTGCTCAGAAGGGGCCACATCAGCTGGGCAGGGTATGGTGGCTCATGCCTATAATCCTAGCCCTTTGAGAGACCAAAGCAGGACAACGGATTGAGCCCAGGAGTTTGAGACTAGCTTTGCAACATAGTGAGACCTCGCCTCCACAAAAAATTTTAAAACTAGCCAAGCGTGGTGTCACCCAGCTACTCAGGAGGTTAAAGTGGGAGGATTGATCAAGCTCAGGAGGTTGAGGCTGCAGTGAACCATGATCACACATTGCACTCCAGCATAGGTGACAGAGTGAGGCCCTGTCAAAAAAAGGAGGGGCCCCCTGCAGAGAGAGGGAGGGGAGAAAACCCAGGCCAAGGGCCCAGAGCCCTCTATGGTTGGGACTAGGGGATGTTGGGGCCCCCAACCCTGATGAAATTGGGAGGAAAGCTCCAGGTTCCATGTCATGTGGATGGGCCTGAGAATGAGGTGAAAGGTGACAATCACACACCCAAACCAGTTATGAGCCAAAGGTTTCGCCAGATAAAAGACTGATGGCCACAATGACCAACACATATGCAAAAGCAAAGCTATCTGACTCCAGAACCTGGCTGAGTAGCCACGGTGTGCTGCCTGCCTCCCCAGTGAAGCCTCTTGAATCTCTTATCTGAGGTCAGGTATTACTAAAACAGGAGTCAACTTGAACCCAGCACTCTCTGAGCCCTTAAGCCTCAGGTCTTAACCACAGAGCCCGGCGATGTTTCTTGCAGGTTATATCTGCCCAGGGCCCTGACCTAGAGGCCATGTCAGTGGCTAGAAATGAACAGCCTCTGCCTTGGACTTGGCCTGGACCCCCCGCTCCTGGTTCCTCTCGGCAGTCTGCTCCACTTCTTTCCCAGTGAGCCTGTCATTCCTAACATTAGCAACTCTGGACAGAAGTAAAGTCCAGAGTTTTTGGACTTTAATTCCTTCAGCTTCTCATGTTCATCCCACAATCCCAAAGATTCTTGGCTGGAATAATCAATGTAGCAGCTAATGAGCACATTCTACCTTGGAGAACATTCTCTGTGCCAGGCCCTGAGCTTAATGCTCTGCCTATCATGTGTTCCTTATGGCCACCCTGAGAGGTAGTTAGAGTTGTCCCCATTCTCCAAATGAGGCAAATGAGGCTCAGAGAGCTTAAGTCACTTTCCCAAGGAAGCACAGCTAAGCAGCAGACTCAGAGGTTGAAGAGGGGGTTTCAAACACTTGCTGTTTAAAAACCAGTTACTAATTCTAATTCCCAAACTTCTGAGTATCACAATTATCTGGGAGGTTGTTTTTTGTTTGTTTGTTTGTTTGTTTTTAAGACCAGGTCTTGCTACATTACCCAGGCTGGAGTGCACTACAGCCTCAACTTCTCTGACTCAAGCCATCTTGCCACCTCAGTCTCCTGAGTAGCTGGGACTACAGACGCATACCACCATGTCCAATTTTTTTATTTTTTGCAGAGATGGCATCACCCTATGTTGCCCAGGCTGGTCTCAAACTGCTGGGATTGAGAAGGATTTTTAAAATAAAGATTTCAGGCTGGGCGCCTGTAATCCCAGCATTTTGGGAGGCTGAGATGAGAGGATCACTGGAGGCCAGAATTTCAACACCAGCTTGGGCAGCATAGCAAAACCCCATCTCTGCAAAAAATACAAAAATTAACCAGGTGTGCTGCCGCATCCTTGTGGTCCCAGCTACTTAGGAGGCTCAGGCAGGAGGATCCAGGTCGAGGCTACAGTGAGCCAAGATTGCGCCCC